AAGCCTGAATTTCTTCCCAATGCTATACTGCCTCAAACCATCACAGTAAGAACCAGAATAACATCCAGAGAAAATGCAAAGACCTTCATCTTTTACTGTGTGCAAGGGAAGAAAAAACCACAATCCAAATCCCCCATGTTTTTTAAACATCTTCTTTTAATATCATGTGTGATTTTTATGACAACTTATACCAGAACCTGAGTTACAGATTTTATTCTTGATATAATATTTAAATGACACTTGAGAACTGCTTTAGCAGTAAGTTCTTCATCAAACCTAGCCTAAGCATGCTACATTATTATTTAGCCTGCCATGACATATTAGTAGACAGTCTTTTGGTTCTTAAGGCACATTTCACCATTATTTTACCTGAGTCAAAACTGCAGAAAAATCTGCATTTCTCAGGAACAACTCCCTGGGAATGATTTTATGATTAAGATTGAGAAATACAGCAGAAACAGACAACCTATGAACCTAAAAAGAACACTGTTAATTCTAACCCCTTAAATGGAAGATTAGAGTTTCTTAATTATACTTTCCACAGTGCCCAGTGCATTGAAGATATTTTTTTCTTTTTTTTAAATTCCATTATTATGTTCCTTACTTGGGCACACCGTCAAAGGTTCCCTGACTTGATAGTGAAAACTTGTGTCACCACTGATTAGCATCCCTTCCTGTTGAAATATTCCTAAATATGGTAAAAAGAAACTTCAGAAACTGAGAAGTATTTGGGCTTCATCCAGAGATTTGGACTCTTGAGGATGACAATGGTTAACTTCCTCAAATCTCTGGGCATTCTTTAATATTATCAATTTAACAGCAGTCTCAAATAACATTCTTTTGCCGACTGCACCTAAAAAACCCAGGTGTACAAAAGGTGACACTAAATGGTAACCTATTATGGATGACCAGGTTCCACTGCAGCAGCATGCTAACGGGACTAGCCAAATTCCGCTAACTGGCCAGACAAACTGAAAAATTTGTCCTGATTGCAAGACATACTTATGCTCCCAAAACAATGGAAAAAATTTAATTCCAGATATATTCTCTGCAATCCATAATCTTAAATGGTTCCAAAATAATTTCCAACTAGTCCACAGTACTAATCAGCCATCCAGTAGATAAGAAAGCACAGCTATCACAACAATACTATCAACAACACCAATGTCCAAATTCAGATGAAATTAAGAATAGCTGGTGACTGCCTTTCTGCTTCAGGAACCTGATTTTCAAAAGAAAACTTTCTTGCTGGATAAGAACAAAAGCAGAGCACTTAACTTTCACTCAGAGAAAACAAATGAAAAATAGCACTATGGCTTGACAACTTTTGGAAGTTTCCTAAGAAAATGAGAGCTTCCTCTACAGCTGATGCTAGCTTATGAAGCCTGCCAAAAAATTAATCCAGATAATAGCGCATTCCCAAGGGGCCCCAGAGAAGAAGAGCCCAGGGACGCTTTCCGGGAGCCTTCATCATTCCCATCTCCCTGGCACAAATCCAGTTAAGTGATGGATAAAGGCAGCAGGTTCCTGAAAGTAGGCTGTCACTAACTAAACAGCCTGCTGCTCTTTCAGTGTCCCTCAGGACACCATGAAAGGGGCCAAAAGAAAAAGGCTGTTTACCAGTGAAAATTAGCCCATTGTCCACTTGAAAATTATTTACTGGTGATCATATTAGGCAAGCACAGTAGGTAAGGCATTGACACCCTCTGCACCTAGAAAAGAGCAAATGAACCACCGAAGTAACTGATGAGTGCAAGTGCCCTGCCTTGAGACTTGCAGTGCTGAGGAGCACATCCAGTGAACTGAGCTCTAGAGAGATCCCTTCAAGCGGTCTGAGCTTCCCTGCCAGCCAGAGGCACTAGGAAGGAAAAAAGTGAACACCTGCCAGAACCTGAGCCTATCACTTTTTAATCTTATTAGTTCAAATCATTCTCTAATAGTCCATGGAAACCTGGCAAGCCGTACAATCTCTTCCTCACTTTCAGCTCTCAAATTACACTAGAAGATAGCAGAACAACTAATAAGAATTATTTACTACTTTCCAAAATAAGTAAGGCAAGATTGCTACCAACAAAATCATTAATTGAAGTGCAGTCTGGAGCTTAAAAGTGTTAACAGCTCAAAATGAGATCAAACTATATCTTGTTTTGATGCAACAGACTAAGAATTTCCGATAGCATACGTATAGAATTTTTGTTTTAATTACAGAATTTATGTCTCAGTACTTTTTTTATGCACTAATCCTTTCTCCTAAAAAGATACATACTTTTCCAACAGTTTTGTCTTAGTCTTTTTTTGAAAAAGACTTTGAGCTGGAATAATTAATTTGGAGCCTAAACGACTAATGTTTTGATAAACATTTACAAACAATGTATCTGTAGCTGAAAGTTACAGCTAGTTTAACACCATACAAGAAATTAGGTTCAGAAGACTTATACAATGTTACACTGCTGTAAGAAAATAACCGCGGGGAAGGGCAATACTTAAGCACCTATAAGGAAAAAGTCCCTTTATGTTACGGGATTTCCCAGACAAAGCTTTTACGGCTCAAAGTAAAAGAAATGTCAGCAGCAGGTGGAAAACAAACCATATTACACAATCTCAAATAAGACACACAAAAATAATTATTAACTGTCTATATGTTATTTTATCTTCAGTTTCAACACTTCAGCATTAAGCAAAATTTTTGTCCAGTAAAAGCCGGATTCCTCCTCTCCATCTAGTCCGGCCTTGGAACAAGCAAGGTGTGGATAACACCTGAGCTCAACACGTCAAGCTTTACTTGCTAGGAAAAGAGAAAGCTCCCATAGGAATCCCCTTCAAAGAACTAAATACAAAACGCTTTTACCATTTTCTCATGCCTGTCTGTGAAGCAACTGTAGATGGTGCTTTTTACTGTTCATCCTTTCAAAAACACTCCAGCGCGGACCTTTCTCACTACTTGTTTTGCTGTGCTGCAGTGATACCCGTGCTGAGCAGGCCAGCTCGTCCCCCACGAGCATCCCGGCGCTCGCCCCCGCGGCCCGCAAGGCCAGAAG